AATTCCGTTGACTTGAACTCAGGCAAGTTCGGCATGATGATAGGCTCACATCTTCAATCGTCATTGCCTTCATTACCTTATCAAGCCATTTATCCATCTACAATCGCGTAAAACCAAGAATTAGAGTTCGTGTAGTTTCGCCGCTGATGAGGTTTGTATTCAAGGGAAAACACAAATCTTAACAAAATCCTAGCAAATCTTTCCACAATATAGTCGTAAGCCATATAATCCTTGTAAATCTTTAGCCCACAAAAAAAGTTTATATGCGGCAATCTTCTTTCTATTTAAGAAGTAAACCCTCTAAATCAAAAGGAGTGTCCTAAGCACAAAAGAAGATTTTCTGTTTTAAATCTAGACGATTAAAAAAAAACTCTCAAACTTAAATTTTGAAAAACAAAAGCCCATATTATCGCTGATTTGGAGGTATGTTTATAAATAAAAGGTTGGTTGAAATTAGTAACATTAATAACCTAATCATGAGAAGATCATAACCATTAGGATTTTTTTTTAACGCTGTTTTCTTATTGATCAAGCAAGTTGAGTCGAAAGGCTCATAACCAAACAACCGAAAGAAATATAGAACCAGAAAGATACCAGTAGGCACCATAAGTTATTTGAAAAACAAGGTACTCCCAACAGTAGAGTATTAGGTAGGTCATCGGACCCAAGAGGAACCCAGATATGAAGGTCAATACTGATGTGTAATGCTAACTCAATGCAGCTTCAGAAACGAGAAGATGGTCAAGCCAGCGTGGGCCGTCACGAGCAATATAAGATTAAGCTTGCCATCCGTAATCACACTCTTTGCCACGTTCTGAGCAATCTGACTGCTTGTTTCCGTAGTGTGCGATAAGCTCCAGCTATCGAAGGAATGGAGGATTTGAAATATCTGCTCAATTAGGTTCCGGAACATCAGGAATGTGAGAGGATGTAGCAATACTTCTCTAACTTGGGTTGAGTGTGATTCAAAAACCAATCTGCGTATTCTAAGATTGGCGACAGATTCAATTGACCTTAAGAATCCCCACAACTCTGTTTCAAGACGAGAAGCCATGTTTGCATAAGATCTCCTACTATGAAATAAAGCCTTACCGTTAGAATCTCAAGCTATCCAAGATACACCACCTTTCCGAGTGACCTCACACCATGCTGCTCCCACGTTACATTTGATTGTATCATGAGGAGGTTTGGACCACGTATGCAGATCCTGAGCCGAGGCAGGTCTAGTTTGATGAGCCAAGGTGGTGGAGATCGGTGCATTTAGGTTGAGCCAAATAGCTGCATCCTCTGACGCTTTGCTCCATATTGAACTTGGATCATATCTTGTATTCTCAAAAGTCAAAGCCTTCCGTGATTTCCATAAGTCCCAAAGTATCCAAGAAAAGCTAGATCGAGAGGATAAGTCCAAAGACTTGTTATTGTACACTACCGGGAGATGGTGGATGTTCAAAAAGACAGAGTTGGGTGAGAAACCAGAAGGCGGAAGGGGAATGTTAGATTGCGCACAAGGCTCTTTGGCGGAAGTGCACGTGAACAAGACATGGCAGATGATCTCCGGAATCAGCATATTGTAAGCCGTACATGTAGGGTTCACGGGGATACCTCTTGAGTGCAATCTTTCTTTAACGACCAGGGCTCCGGACAAAGCTCGCCAGAGGAAATTTCTTAGCTTTGGTGAGGTTTTAACTTTCCAAATTTTGTTCCAAATAGCCTTTTCAATGGGAGGAGTTTCATGTAACGAACCTGCTTGTATATTTTGTAAAATCTCCAAGAATTTATAACCACTCTTCGACGAGTATGAGCCATCATTAGAGAAGCTCCATACTATCTCATCTTCTCGCATAGGGTGGATCCGCGTGGACATAATGCGACGAGTTACCGCAAAGAGTTGCTGGATTTTCGTCACATCCCAGTAGCCGGTAAGGGGATTGATAAGATCCACCACTTTTAGCGTTAAGTCTACATTCGCATCTTGATGATATTGGGGAGCTCATGGGATATTATCAAAAATCCAATTATCAAGCCAAACTCTTGTACCTTCCCAATTGCCAATGATATGTAGTAACCCTTGTTTGACAAGATCTCTTCCATGAAGTATGCTCCGCCACGCATACGAGGGATTTTTACAAATGCTTTCAAGGAAAGAAGAGTTCTTGAAATACCGGTGTTTCAAGATCTGGGACAGCAATGAGTCAAGATTAGTCCACAGTCGAGAGGCCTGCTTTCCGAGCAAAGCTTGGTTGAACTTTGAAATGTCATGAAACCCGAGAAACCATTGGGATTTAAGATGAGAGAACTAAGTGATTGGGACCAAGCCCACTTTGTTATCTTCCTTGTGCACCACAAATACGTAGATGTATTTGCATACACAATATACACACGTATTTACAGTTGACCCGGGTTATTTTTCAACATATATACATGTACAGAACTGTTCTAGGAAAGTTTTTCATTCTTAATTTCGGTTCAATGATTTACTCAAGTGAACTTACAGAAACCTCCTTCGTAACAAACATGTACTAACATAACCGCAATAAATACACTTATCTGTATATATTTAATCAATTTGACTAACAGTTGCTGTATTTAAAATTAATTTGTTCATGATGTTCGAGCGGTCAGCCTTTCACACCTCATTTGATCTGCGTTGTGCGATTTTATTTCGAAGTTGAAAAAGTAATTGAAAATATAAGATTTACTATCGTTCTTTTTTTTTATAAACATAATTAACTTCATTCTATAATTAATGTCTATTTCTTTGACCAAAAAAAAAATAATGTCTATTT